AAAAATAAAGCAAAACATGATTCTAATCACATTGATAAAATGTTTTAAATATAAATAAATGTTTGTAATAGAAAAGAGAATAGTATCTGATTACTTGAATAAGAGGAATAAATTATAATGTATAAAATTGTTGCTATAATTTGATATTGATGAAGTAATTTTGAAAAACAAATAAGGAAAAAAGAAATGAAAATATTGAAATTTATCATAGATTTCTTAACAAACAGGCAGCGAACAATCTGTTTTACAGTGGGTGTGTTCTTTAATTTTTTTCTTTTGATTTTAATGTCGTTTTAAAAAATCCGCCATTACAATATTATTTTCGCGAACCCCTCGTGCAAACACTGCAAACCCCAAGGGTTCGCAAACCACCGGTTGGGAATCACTGCTCTAATGCTAGTGGTGCAGTGGTCATGCCTTGAAACCACAAAGCAAATGTCATACATATAGAGGGTTTTCTTTGTATATGCAGTTTAATTATTGCTATTTTTTTATTGTTTATGATAGAAGTCATGATGTGCGATGAATAACTTTTGAAATTTAAAGTTGTTTATATTAATAAATGGAAGTTATTTTGTTTCATTGAAAATGAATTTTAAAAGGCATCCAATTTGAAGTACTAAGACCTAAAACATGTATTTCGGAAAGAAGAGGAGAAAAAAATCCGAAAATTGGTGGTTTCAAGGCGCGACCACCACGCGTCAAAGGGTTAATGGAAGCTCTGTTTTGATTGCTATGGGTATAAACTTCCTGCAGTTATTGTTCCAATCTATGACTATTTTCTTGGCCATATTTAACTAACCACATCATGTTCATTAATATATATATGTATATATATATATATGTAAAATATAAAAAAATACGATGGCTTTGCTCTTTGCGAACCAGCAACCTTTAATTAATTTCTGCAATTTAGGATCTTCCCCCTAGACCAGTACCTTCTAGAATTTGCAAGCCTATTACATAACCGCTACTGTAAATACTGAGTACGCGCCATTTTCCAGTCAGACTGCTTCTTAATATCGTTGCTACTCTGTCTATCTTTCCTTCCTTTGTTAGAATTAGTTATGACGCAGAAAGTTTAAATTCAATCCTACTTAGTTAAAATTACTATGGATACGTGTAATTTAGAGAGTTTCATATAAAATGAAAATGATCTGCTAATTGGGATTAAATAAAAATGGGCAATTAAAAGCTAAATCAATTTATGTCGTCTTTGGATATTCTCCTTACCACTCTGCAAAAAGCCATGCCTGAACTTTGATGCCAAGCTTCATCATGATGGCCAAAATATCACATATAATTTTTATGGTAGGATCTCATAACTTTGAAAGTAATTCCCTGTTTGCTGCTCCATAGAAGGTACAGCTGAAATTGTAATATTTTTTGTCCAAAATGCAAGAAAAAAAAAATGCAGCAATAACAGTTGATTTATATCCATGCTCATAAAAACAAAAATTGGCTCATTGAGAATTCCTCAGGGTTACATCAGATGGAAAGAGATGTTGTGAGTTTGTTATTATGTCGCATGTATCCACAACTGATGCAAAATCATGCTGCTTGGCCACGGCTTCATGGTTGACAAGAAAATACATAAGTTCGAAAAAGTGTTTTCATAGTGTATCGTAGAAAGCGGAAAAAAGATGTGAAGTTTTCTTAATTTAATGTTTGTTTTGACATCAGACACGTTTTATGCTCAAATACATTTTTTGTTCCTTTTATAGCATCAAATACATGCTTTTTGCTTATTTGCATAACACTAGGTTAATTCCCTTCTGCAATGAAAGGATGTCTCAATAAATAAATAAAAAATGACATTAAACTCCTGATAACATAAAAAATTAAAGCTAATAGGTAGCTTAACAGTAGAGGGTGCCTGTTAGTCTAAAAAAATGTTTAAAATACACTTCTTTCTCGGATGAAACAAAATTCAGTCTGTATAAAGCTTGATGATAAATTGATGGTTGGACCGTACAAAGCAGATTTTTTTATCTGATGCATTTCTTACGTTAAGTTTGTCATGTCTAATCACAACTTTTAGCACAGTATATATTAGTCATCAGAAAATTGTAAATAAAATTGAGTACTAGAGTGTATCAAATAATGTTATGACAGATCAAGAATAATATCTCATGAAGCATTGCATATTTCAGTACGATTCAGTTTACAGAGTCTAATGCTAATCAATACCTGAAAATCGCAGCTTGCATTAATTTCTTTGCCATGCAGATTTCAGACTGTAACAAAACTAGATTATTCTGTTTGTTGTTGTTATCATTATTATTTGAGTGCAGTTAAAACATGATTGCAGGAGCTCCTTATAAAGGTAAAAAATAATAAAGGTGAATAATTTCCTAGAAAATTATTCGTATGGCTCTGCAGTGAAAAATGGAGATGTAAAGAGAGAGAAGAATAAACATTATGGAAATGATATGAAAAATTTGTGTAGAATATTTTAAGTCTTTAGTTGTGAAACAGTATGCAACAAGAAGTGCCAGAAATGGGTTATCTAAATACAGGAGAACCCAAATTATCAGAGTGCTTACTGTCTGAATAAATCAGTACAAACATAATGCAATTTTTTTTTAATAATGTAACTGTAATTCATAAAAGCTTTGCAGATATTTCACAAAACATATGGAAGATCCAGATTTCTCTTGTGATATATTTTATGAATGCCATCAAAACAGCATTTTCCGTAATTGATTTAATCAATGCATTTGTTATTTGAATGGAGTATGTGGAAATTTTGAACTGTAAATCAATGATTTAGAAGGAAGCTCATTTATTTTTAAAGCTTTTTCATTTTATTTTGCAAATATCCTCTGTACAAGATGAATAAAAATTCAAGGAAAATTAAAATAGTTACAGTAATTATCAAAAGCCACCATGAATTTAATCTTTCAAATATTTAGATCTCAATTTTACATGGGCATTGTCAGTCATTTGTAAGTGCTGAGGTGATCTAGAGAATATTATTGGTCCAAGAGCAATAAAGGATTATAGAGAAGATAGTGACAATAACAAAACATTGTAAGTACTTGCATATTAGCCCAATCACCTTTGGTGACAGTTTCGGGAAGAAAAGAAGTGATGACTTTTTTCAATAAACCCCCCTTAACACGAATTTGTTAGGTGTTGCAGGTGAACACTTGGTTAACATGAACAAAATTTCTGTCCTGGCTATGATGTGTATGATCTTACAGGACGTTTTATTGGTTAACATGAATTATGAACTGTTTTTAATCCATTGCATAATTTATCATTTAACATGAACTGTCAAAGATTGTCATGTTTTTTCCTGTTGTTTCTTTGTGAGTGCGACATTTAGAAATGTTCTGTCCCATTTAATTGAAAATCTCACAGAATGTGCTGTATTCTTGAAAACATAGCCAGCACAAGTGACATTGTTTGGCAATTGCGGTCATTGTGTCATGAGCTTCAACCAACAAATGCACTTTTGTGTTTAGATGTGCTTTTTTTTTATTTTTTAAAAGTTGAATAATATGGCTAATGTTAAATCTTAAGTAATTTTGAATTAATCGCATAAAGTTACTTGTCTTCTTCCAATGGTCACTGAGCGATTTAGTATCTTCTCTTTATGGAGACATAAACACGAGCTTAGAGTGTGCTTGATGCAATAAAGGCTCTCGCCACACCCTTGAAAACCGTGTCATCACAATACATACAGAACTGTTTTAGCAGAGCCTGGAGACAGAGATGTTAACCTTGTTGATGAGTTAGGTGGTGACAACAGTACTACTTCACTGACGTGTGTAGTAGTCTACAAAATGTCTTGAACCGTGATGTTAGTTTTGAGGAGCTTATAAATGCAGATGGGATGTTGCCATGTTAGCTGTAGTGGAATCTGAGGTGTGAGAATTGTCATCAGAAAAAAAAGGAAGAGTCTATATCATTCTGCACACACCAGGAAATGTTACATGTTGTGGACACTGTAGAACGTTTTACTGCAACATCTGAATTGACTGCTAGTTTTACAGAAGCCATGAGTATAATTGGCCATGAAGTTACTGTGCATTTTCTGTCCTGTCTGCAACAGGTAAAGAAAGAAGAATTTTTCACCAAAAATTGATCTATGAATGCATTTTTTTCATGTTAAAATGTAGTAATGTATTATTGTAGTGTTTCCTGTGACAGCATGCATAAGATATTATAATACTTAGTAACTATATACTGTAAATAATTATTGTGTAGAAAAAATTATTCCAAAAATAAAATTTGAGTCTCCAGTTAAAATTAATTTTTTTAATGCGAACTTGTGATTTTTCGGTTCCTTGAGATTCATGTTAACAAGGGTTTACTGTGATTGTAAAAAAATATCTATCACTTGCAAACTATCATTACAGATATAATATTTTATGTTTTAACTAGGTATTTATCCACCAAAAAAATCATTGAACCTACTTGCAAGCAGTCTTTTTTTTTTTTTTTTTTTCTTTCTTCTGATGGAAATTTTGTACTGTTCATTTTAAGAAGAGATTCAAAGCAGCTGTTTGGTGTATTGATTTTGTGGCAAAAGTCTATATTCGTGCAGAAATTTTATTGCAGTTTGATCCTGTGTGAGCAAATCATGCAAGCAGATGTTTTAAAACAAAATCATGATTTTTCTATAAAAACTTTTTAGAATACAACAAAAAGAATGCATACAAAAACAGCAATATTAGTTGTTAAAAACTGAAGAATTGCTGTGCATGATTTCTGAATGTGTTATGTGCACGGTTGCCAACAGCTCGGTACATTCTGAAATTTTGGCGATTTTTACTAAAGTGGTTGCATTAATATGCAAGTACCAAATAGTCTTGCTTAAACATTAGATGTCACTTCATTATATAAATATTAAGTTGTTATATGTGCATATCAATATAGAATAAGCTATTAGATGTGTAAAAATACTTTGGCTAGTTTATATTTGAATTTACTTACATTGTTTGAAGATGTGGTGAGTGAAAAAACTTATTTATTTCTTCTTTCCTCTATAGAGTTGTGTATATAGCATGGAGTTATCTGATACAAGGATAGTATTGTCAAGGAGTATTTGAATTTATTTCATCCCATCTGCATCATGGGCAATAAATTTTCATGTTGTGCATGTCATAGCCCCATTTTTGACAGGAAAGCAAACCCAGAAGGAGGCCAAAGAATTTATTTCCAGGATGAGAGCATATCCAATCTGCAACACATTAGTGAAAGGGAGCCAGAAGGTTTGTAGTTTTAGTTCTAGTTATTTAATCTTGAGAATAGTATGAATATGCACTTTTTGTTTCTTTATATGCACATGGTTACAGATTGAAACATTAAAAGCAATGTATAGAAGGGATTTCATTTTAAAACTTGGTGCAAATGTGAGAGTGGTATAATTAAACAATAATTGGTTGATCTCAATGTAGATTCCATATGAAAAATATATACATATTTTAACACATCTGCCTGTTGGTTTCAAAGTTGAATTGCATTATTTTTACAGTATATAGTATGTTTTTTTCAAGAGATGTTGGTACTTTCATGACTAACATGATGTATGATGTTTGATAATGAATTGAAATGGTAAAGGCACACTTGACATTTGAGGAACTGACCTTTGGAGGATCTTGAAGGATGTTTTATATCTCGAGGAACCTGGCTACATTTGAGAATCTTCGTCCAAATTATAGCAACTTGTGCAGGAATCCCCATGGATCCCTTGTTCAAGCAACTATTGCCTGGCTACTAATGGCCATCAGTTGGAACATTCGAAGTGTACATGTATACGTGTATGAACATTATATTAAACTTAACGTATAATATGTATGATTATGTTAACTTAATTAAGTTTGGTACTAACAGACAAAGAGTTTTTCTTTATTAAAGTGTATATACATTTTTTGACGTACAATAAATTGCAATAAGGATATTGGATAAAATTTTGATTGTATTCACTGAGGCAATATATGTCTTTAAGTAATGCTTCAGATAGAATGGAGAGTTAAAAAATATGATTGTGATGAAAATGTTAGTGTAGTGGAAATAATCATTTGTCTAGAAACACGTTTACATTATAGAGTGATTTTAAAAACTAATTCTATTAATTCTGATATTTCTGTGTAAAACTGTTTTATAAAATATTGAAGGGATAGCTTTTACTGTAAAGTGGATGGGAAAAGTAGATACACATGTTCGTTATCGCGTTTATTGGCGGTGAGAAGGACAAGTTGGATCAATAGATATAGTTCGGTGCTCGCAGGCACCCTTTTGCAGAGAACAAAATCAAAATTTACATAAAGCATGAACATGCCGCCCACCTTGAAGTGCTATTTCAACATTCAGTAGTTAAAATTCAGCAAATTCAAAAAACACAATACAATATTAAAAGCATGATATAATACTTAATTTATAATACATATGAATTAAAACTCAAATTCGTAAATGACACAATTTTGTAATATTTCTTTTGACCATGCCATCTGAAGTCTTAATAGTCAAAGCCCTAACAATATTATCAAGACCAGGATGCAACTGAGTAATTCTACCTATTTTTTGTTTAGTTATCTTTTATGAAACACAGATCATTAACTTGAAAATTTTTAGATGGCAAAAGCCATTTTGGTCTTTGTTGTAATCAACATAGATGTTCTTTGTGCCAACGCTTCCAAAACTGTTGAACCATTTTTTTGAATATGTTGCCATCTAGTGAGATGGGAAACATTAACTTCAATGTAATTTGGTTCAGAAATACTTGTTAATGATCTACCAATAAGAAAATGACCAGGTGTCAATGCTGATAAGTCATTTGGATTATTAGATAAATTTGTTAGAGGTTGTGAGTTAAGACAAGCTTTTATTTGTGTGATAAATGTTCCAAATTCTTCAGATGTCAATCTTGTCTCACCAACTACTTGTTTTAAATTAAACTTTGCTGATTTTATACCAGCTTCCCAGAGTCCAGTCATATGTGGCACACCTGGAACATTTAGATGCTATTTAATGCCATTATCAACCAAATATCTACTAACGTTTTTGTTATAAGTTGCAGATCTACCAAGCCTTTCAAATTCCAAGAGTTTGCGTTTTGCTCCAACAAAATTGGAACTGAAATCGCTATATATATCACTGCTTTTGCCCCTGCAGGAAATGAACCTCTTAAGGGCTGCAATAAAAGCATCTGCTAAAAGATCAGTTACTAGTAGTAAAACAAACAAATGCAGCTATATATGCCTTGTATGACCTAGGGCCTCAACCCTTATTTGCTTTAATTTGAAAAGGACCTGTGTAGCCCATTCCACAGCGCAAAAACACAGGAGCAGGGGAAACGCGACTAGATGGCAAATTGCTCATCAGTGGATTAGTGACAGATGCTCTAATTCTGCAACACTTTATACATTTTCTAACTAAATCTCTGATAACAGCTCTAGCACCTATGATCTAATATTGTTCTTGACTACAAGATTGCATAAGTTGTGGACCTACATGCAAAAATATTTCGTGGTAATGTCTAACGATGAGATGAGTTAAAATGTACCACTTGGCAGCAAAATGGGATGCCTAAAGCCATATGCATGGTTTGCATGTCGCTAGTGCCCTTCTCCCTGAGAATACCTGAATTATCTAAAAATGGATTTAAAGATAAAATTTTGCTTGTACAAGATAATGATTAATTTCTGCTTAAAGTGTTAATTTCATTCTTAAATTCAACATATTCCATTAATTTAATTAACACATGCATAGCATGAGTTAATTCACTAGTTTTTAAAAATCCATTTACCTTATCTCTTAAATTTCTACAGTTATTTACAAACCTCAGACATAATACTATAACATAAACATGTTTGTTGAGAGAAGAATATTTATAAAATAAATCATGAGCGTATCAAGTGACTGGTAGCAGTTGTTGACTGTAAAGCACATCTTTGCTCAGGCACAGAATCATTCAGTAGTGATGCAGATGATGCTGGCTGAAAAGGAAATAAATCATACAATAAATCATGTATACCATGTAGCCACAATGAAGTAACCAGTGCTGATGATGACACACCGTGAGTTGCAAGATCAGCAGGATTAGTATTTCTACTCACTTGATGCCAATTTTACAGGAGTCTGGATTTTTGCTACTTTATTAGCGATGAAGGTCTTCCATTGGCTTGCATGAGATCCTGTCCAGGCTAGTACAATAGTGGAATCAGTATAAAAATAAGCTTGTGATATAGGAGTATCCAAAGCTTTACAGGTGAAGTCCATCAATTCAGTCAACAGGAATGCTCCACAAAGTTAAAATCGAGGAAGTAATATGGTTTTTAGTGGTGAAACTATTGTCTTGGCTATCACCAACTGAACATTTATTTGTCCAGTATCTAACACAGAACAATAATAAATTGCAGTGGTGTATGCCTTCTCTGAAGCATCACAAAACCCATGCTGTTGAAACTGGTTATCTGATTCAACCAACAAGAATTGTGAAATTTTGATACTTTTAATAAATAACATATCTTCTGTAAGTTGTTTCCATTCACATGCAATATCTGGAGGAACCTTTTCATCCCACTGCAACTGATGTTTCCACAATTTGTGCATGATCAATTTATACCGAACTGTGATCGGTGCCAACCATCCAAGGCGGTCAAAGGTCTTTGCAGTTGTTGAAAGTACTGTTCATTTGGTTAAGACTTCAGGATATGATAAATTGACTTTAAAGAAAAATATATCTGAAGCCTATTTTCTTAGAACAAATCCTGCACTTGACAACATCTGATTCAGTTGCATTTGTAATTCTATAGCGTCAGTAATTGAACTTTCTCAGGACATCAAATCATCAACGTAGAAGTTGCTAAGGCATGTCTTTGAAAGCCAAATGGAAATTATTTGCTTCTTCTATTGCTAACTGCTGTAAACATTTTACTGCAAGGTATGGTGCTGATGCAGTACCATAAGCAATCCTAGTTAATCTAAAATCCTGAATTAGTTTATAAGGTGAATTGCACCAGACTATTCTTTGAATGTGTACATCTTGTAGTATGATTTGCTGTACATTTTCTCTACGTCCACAGTTAGAGCTATTCTGTGAATTCTAAGACGAATAATTAATGTCATCAGATCAGTCTGTAACTGTGGACTAAATATCAATTTCTCATTAAGAGAAATACCGCTAGAAGATTTAGCAGCACCATTCAAATACCACTCGAAATTTATCACCATTTTTATCTGGAACTGAATCAATTCCATACGACTAAGTTGTTGATAGTTCTCCATAAATTTGTGATATTGACTGGAAAGAAATTTATTCCTAATAAAATGGCATTCAGTTTGTTGTAAACGATGTATAGCAACATCCCTAGATGACCCAAGTTCACTGCTTGACCTACGAAATGGAAACTTAACAACAAATCTACCTTTTGAGTCACGAGAAAAATTCTGCTTGAAATGATTTTCATACTCAATTTCTTCCTCTGTGTAAGGCTTTGTTTCTGAAATTTCTTCTAATTTCTAAAACTTTTCAAGCTAAAATTGAACATTGGTACAAATGGTATAATTAGATATAATTGTTTGTGATACACATTTCATCGTGTCGATGATGACTCAAACGAATGTTGATTCTAAGGCTGTTGACGAATGTCCTGTAGCAGTTAAACGTCCATGAAGCATTATCTCGCCAAATACATTTGTGCCTAAAAAATATCTATTGAGCCAGGCTGGAAGCAATTTGCATCTGCTAAACACAAGTATTTAAATGCTGTCAAAATAGACCTATCAACTTGATATTGAGGAAGGTCACATGTGATCTTGGGTATAATAATTAATGAATTAACTGAAATGCTTGCGTTTTTATAAAATGGAGATGTTACTTGTAATTGAACTGTAACTTAACTGAAACCTTACGAGTTTTTTTGTGAGCTCAAGCCGTTTACACTTATGTTTGCACTAGTACGCTTTAGGTGCAATAAATTTACACAGTGCTCCCAAATAAATGAACCCTGGCTACCTGAATCAATCACCATCTTGCATTTTTGTAAATCGCCATTAATATCTTTATCATAAACAACCGCAGTAGGCAATAAAACTTCTTGCGTGACAGGCACCGTGGCATTATTGCTGCCAATAGAAGAAGTTTTGTGTTCCGTCGATGTATGACATTTTTCATGAATTGAAGTTTTTGAACATAACACTGTATTACTTGGCTTTGAATAAGATTTACACATGCCTGCATGACATTTAAAAATGGGATGCGTTTTACTATTTTTCAAACAATTAGCACATAATTTATTCCATTTAATAATATCCCATTTTTCTTTAATAGGGAATTCTAAAAAGCTATCACATTTAAATAATAATTGAGAATGAGAATTACTCTTTCAATGAAGACACAAATTAGCCACAAGTTGTGACGAAAAAGCATATCTACCACCTGAACTGGGAGTTTTAGTTTTAGAAAACAAACTATCCTTCTCTTTCTTCTTTGAATTCAGCGAAAGCAGAAATTTTTGTGTTTGTTCACTCTAACGTCCATTCTTTTAATGTTTCGTGATCAAGTTTTCTTTTTAACAGAAAAATAATCATAGTATCTCAATACTTTACTGGCTGTTTAAGGATTTTTAATGTATCAATTAATCTCCACAAACCTGAAGCTGATTCATGTTTTAGAACAGGCTGTGAAATTAATTTATTTAACACTGCATTTGTTATTTCTGTTTGGTTTTCGTAATGTTCAGTAAGCGCTTTCCACGCCTTTTCATAATTCGCGTTTGAAATTTGAACTGATTGTAGTAAAACAGCAGCTTCACCTTTCACAGAAAGCTTAAGATATTGCAGTTTTTGACTGTCACTTAATGTACTATTACTGGCAAGAAATAAATCCCTAAATGAAACCAATCATTGTAATTAGAAGTAAACACTGGCAGTTCTATGCGAGGGAGTTTTAAACCATTTGCATTAGCATTCATTATATCTTGACATTAATTAGTAAGTTTTCTTGATTCTTCATTTAAAGTAACTTTTAATACATCCAATTTAGAAAACATTTCATGCGTTTCTATTCATACTTATTAAATTCTGCGTTAGAACAAGTACCAGGAATGTTATCATTTAAACTGTTCACTTCAGCATCTAAAGCTCTAACATCATTTTCATACCCTTCAATGACAGGAAAAGAATTTTCTTGATTTTGTAAACTATTTACTTGTAAAATGAAACGAGTTAACTTACCCTTAATGATTAACTTTTGCTTTAAAATAGATTCCATATTCCGGCTGCTATTCTCACAATCCTGACACAAAATAATTCGTTCTCTTTGCATGAATATCCTGCTATTTTAGAGCGTTAAAAATGTCTTGACTTGTCATCCAAAAGTATTATGCTGGCTGTCGACGGACCATGTAAAGTGGATGGATAAGTAGACACACACGTTCATTATTGCATTTATTGGCGGTGAGAACAAGTTGGTACATTTGGTGCTCGCAGGCACCCTCTTGCAGAGAACAAAATCAAAATTTACATAAAGAGCGAACACTTGCTGAAATGGTTTATTTTTCTATTGTGTTCTGTAAGAATATGAGGTAAAAGAGTTTTCACCAACTGATATTTAATTTCATTTGCTTTTTAATGAGCCTTGTGACAGAAGTATTTTCACTTTTTCATTTGGGAATTTCATTAAACAGCTCATGTAGATTTAGTAAAACTTTATCTGTTTAATAATATATAGTTGAATATAAAGGGAAACGGCAAAATTGTCTATCATCTACTTGATGTACAGATGATTAATACTTCAAAATAAGACATTCTTTTTGTTTTGTTAGAAGCTGAAAATATTGGATCATCCAAAGTTGGGGAGACTAGCAAGATGTGGTTTTCACAGAAATCCACAGGACATGAGATTTTTTAATGATGAGATATTTTGCAGCCAGAATAGTTCTTCCCCCCAATGACAGGTGGCTCTGTTGTATCAGAATTTCATAAAATGGTTCGACTCAGCTACAAAAACCTCAACTTCTAAAATCCAACTCAACAAGGATTACAGTTGTTTAGTACAACAGCCTTCATTCATGAGTGTGGTTGTCAGATGCAGCTTGATGCTGTGTAAAGTGTTGCGAAAGTTGCGCTGCGCTATTGCACAAGTTTCTGTCAATCGAAACACCACCTGTCTGTAAAAAGTTTAACCTGGAAATTAAATCAAATTATTAAAAAGTCCTGTATCTTTTTATTCATTTTTGTAAAAAACCACATCATGCCATTCTCTATAATCTCTGAATTAGTGAATTATTGCTTTTTCTGGCACTTTTGAATTACAGAATTTGAGGTGACTGATTTCCTTATTCTTCAAAAGCAAAAACTTCTTTTATTTCTGACAAATAGGCGCTTATGCCTCTGAAGTCAAACATCTTTACTTAAAATGCATGACATTGTTTTTTGTCTTAACATTACAATTTGCATTGGTGTATTATTGTTGTGTGTAGAGTTCTATTTGTTGTACAGTATTTCAAAATATGGAGTTATCTTGTTGTGGTGTGCTTAACATATATATATATATTTCCATTTGTGGGTAGAAAAGATTTGGGCAAATTGGAATTGAACCAAAATTTTGAATTTCTTTCTACAGTACAAAATTCAGGATTCAGAACCATCAAGATTTCGGCGATTATGGATTATAGAAATTTCAATATTTTTTGTCACCAGTTTAAATCCTGTAAGATGACATAGAATTTATAAAATTAAAAATATTCATTATTAGTATTTCTTTAAAAAAGAGGCATTTTGTATAAAGGAAGATTTTTTTTCGTAATCACTGCCACATGAAATTAAATTTGAAACTGAAATGCCAATAGTTCTCGATTTCAAACGGTACTACAGATATTTGTTTTTTCGTTGATTTATGGTTAAGGCATTGTCAGCATAATTAAGATTTCAGTTATATCATTTTCATTTGACATTTCTTACTTTATTCCATTAATAGAAAAATTTTTCTTTTGACTTATTCATATATCTTATTTATATCTGAAAACATTTAGATTTGTGGCTTTTGTCATCATCATTAAATATGGTAATTGGCTGTATATTATGGCAAACATTTTTGCAAATATCCGCAGACATATCCTCTCATGATCTTGCAAAGCCCTTCTCATCAGATTTTTAATTAAATATTTCTAGAAATTTTGGATGTGTTGCATCAGTTTTTTTAAAAGTTACTTTACACTGATGAGCCAAAGCATCATGAACATGCCTATATTTTTCAAGGAACTTGTCTGGATGACGTTGAGAGCATGTATTAAATGGGAATGGTATTTAACTGCTGCTGGAGAAGGTAAGGAATCATTCTTGCACTTTTGTGAGTGCTGGAAAGAGCTGCTGATCTAAACTAATTTGATAGAGGACAGATTGTAATGGTCCGAAGACTCGGAACAAGTATCTCTGAAACTGCATGACTGTTAGGTTGTTCACGATATGCCATTGTTAGTATTTAGGCAAAGTGGATAAATGATGGTGAAACCAGCAGTAGATGCCAAGGTATTGGATGTCTACACATCTTCAAAGAAAAAGGATGGCAGAGACTCTTGCTTGGTAGAGCAAATTTGGTGCCAAACAGTAGCTCAGCTGACAGCCCAATAAGGCAGATCTAAGTGCAAGTATTTTGGAACACAATGATCAGTGGACCCTGTTGGACATGGAACTGTGCAGCAGATATCCCACCTTGTGTGCCTCTGTTGACCAAGCATCATTGTCAACTGCACCTAACATGGGTCTGGGAACATTGAGACTGGACCATGGATAAGTGGCCTGGTCGGATGAATCACAATTCCTCATTCATCACATCGATGGTCATGTCAGGGTATGCTATCTTCCAGGCAAACAGTTGCACTCCCCTCTACAGCAGGCCATACACAGGCTACTGGTGGTGGTATTATTCTTTGGGAGACATTCTCATGGGTGACTCTAGGAATCTTAGTTGTGGTAGAACAGACCAGCTGTGGAATATCTGAACATAATTGCATATCACTTGCACTCGTACATGCCTCGTGTTCCCAACTGGAAGTGGAATCTTCCAGCAGGACAAGGCTCAGATTGTGTTGGAGTGGTTCAAGGAGCGTAAGGATGAATTCCAATTACTGTCCTGGCCATCTAACTCTCAGGGTCTTAACCCTATGGAGTACATTTGTGATGTAATATATATTTTGACTTAAATTCTGATATCCATTCCCTTATTGATGGTTGTACAGTTTAAGTGAAAGAGTGAAAGATGTTATCATTTATTAAAATTGTAATTTTGATAAGATTAATAATAACAGATGGAACAAAATAATAAGCTGCTTGAAATTATAAAATTAAGAAAGAGCAAATTTAGTGTGGGAACTAAACTTGGGCTCTTTGTAATCTTTCTCCCTTCCTCGATGTTGTATCAGCAAAATAAAACTAGTATAAGCAACACCCCCTTCTAATAGATGTCTTGGGGCTTCACTTATTATTTAGTTCAGGTAGGGAAATGTAAGTCCTCGTTCAAGGGCCAAAAATGTGTTTTGTGGCTAACATCAGTCCACTGTCAAGTGATATATTTTCATCGTCTGTGGTGTTCGGAAGTCATACACAGGAATCTCAGGAGAAAAATCTTTGGTATGGCTCACCTTCCTTTTCTTTAGTATTCTATTCCCCATTCCTAGTCTTTGTAAGGGAAGAAAAAAAAATGTTGCAGGTGGTCCAGAGGTCTAGAAATTAGATCACTGCAAATATTGGATGTTTGGATTTCAGACTTTGTAACTGCATAACTTAGTAAATGCAGAATTTCATTAATTAAATCAAATTAAAAAGTTATAGAATTGAAATACTGTTTGCCTTCAAGTGTGAAATTTCACTTAATGTGTGTAATTTAGAAAAAATATGCAATGTATTAGCTTTCTCTCTAAATTGCTTTTTCCCCACTCTCATTAAATATTTATTGCATGGAACATATGTTTAAAATTACTTCTGATCTGCAGCTGGAAAATTTCTTGAATCCTTAAGTACGATATAATTATGGCACATATAAACTTGAGGTTTGACTAATTATAATATTTGTTTAATTAAGATTTTCTTTAAATTTGAAGGCACTAAACGATGCATAATAAGCAGGCAGTGAAAAAATATGTGCTTTTCTCTGCATAAAGATGTAAGTAAAATTAGTAAATGAAAGTATTTTGTATCTGAAGGAAAACAGTGAAATTAAAACAAAATTGCTATAAATTTGATTTTAAATCTCCAGTTTTTGAGAAATGTTAAACAGTATTGTTTTAGTTCATATCTTTTATATGTAAAGAATATTTTTCTGTATTTCAGAAGAATATTCATGAACACAATATGTTGTTCTTCTGAGCCCCTGTAGTGGTTAAGTAGTCAAGACCACTGAATACTGGAATATCTACTTAAGCTCCATGTCAGGCAAATGGGCTGCCTGCATGATTGGTTTTCAAGATTTTCTGCATTTATAAAGTTAAAACGAGCCAATGCCCTTTAGGAAGGTCCACCTTAAAGGCTTCCTCCTCTTTAAGATAGCCCTCGTGATTTGCCATGTTCAAATAACAAAACCTATAATATATCCTCCTCATTGTTTACCCATCAGAATCAAAACTTGCAAAAAACTGTTTTATACCTACCTACCTTTTTAATGACTAAAGATATGCTTTTCTGCAGTTATTGAGTTATTGTATAAAAACATTAAAAAATTATCAATTATATTTTTGCCTTTTACTTTTAAAAAAATGAAAATCCAATTTAGAATTCATTTGTTAAGTCATTTATAAAAATGAAGTAGTAAAACGTTCACAGAACTGAAGATTATTTGTACATTTACAAAGTATACATTGAAATATCAAGCAGTTCCGTGCAAATGTTAAGTGCCTTTTTCTGGTTGTTGATAGAAGGGAGGTTTTGGGATCTTCAGATTCAATACTAGGTTCAGAGTCCTGTAGAATCAATGACAGGTACAAATCCCAGTGAGTCTGTTGTATTAGCTATGGGAAACTCAGTTCTTCAGATGGTATATTTGGGCCTTTCCATAAATGGAACTGAAACCCAGACTTCCTCAAGCAGAGTAAATTTCCTTGTAGCGTAGTGCTCATTACATGTAGCTAGTAGTTGGAAGGATTCAGGTTCGATTCCCGCTGAGGGTATAGTTGATTTTGCGAGTTCTACTGGCCTAAATAACTTTCCGTGCGAGTTGATACTCAGGTTTCTTTGGGAAACGTTATGTATTTACAGAAGACAATTCCAGTCTGTGCGTACATATCACAAACCAATTTCTAATTTCCATCTATCTGTGCAGGTAGTACAGCAACTGAGATTCCATCATTCTATCTTCCTTTCCTATCCATTGTGAAAGTGATGATTGCCAGCCTTCCTAATATCAGATGATGGTCAGCTGCATCAGACACATGTTGAAGCTCATGATGAGGTAGATCCATATCTGTATAATGGTCTATCCAAATGGAACTAGGCCAGGAATTTTCCTTTATAATTATATAATACCATTTAACTGATTAACATTAGATATTGTTTGATATAGAAACCATGTATTAACTGTTTATATGTAGCATAAAGCCTTTGAATAGCGAGCAATAGGTTATTAATAGTGTAGGTCTGGAGAAGTAAATATGACATATACATTTCCAAGCAAGGTCTGGAGGAGTAAATACGACATATACATTTTCAAGTGTTCTATTTCTGTCGTTTTCTGAAAATCAACCAAAATATTGAGTTGTTGTAAATGAAACGGCTAACTTTAAAGGCAATTCAGAAAGACTACTTGTTCTACCAAATAAAAAAAAAATACTTGTTTTATCAAAGCGATCTCCAGTAGCATCAAAAGATTGTTGTCAACTATGCTAAATTTATAAAAATGACCATCTGTAGAAGTGATGAAGTCCTCCACTGCCCAATAAATTGATGTATCTTTCTCAAAGCTTTTCTTAGACAGAAATGTCTCAAGTGCTGAAAAAATGGAGCAGTGTTATGAGAGTATAGAGGATGAGGCCCAATTTTGTATACCAAATTTTGATGTGCTATATTGGCATAGCCACATGTGGTCAGGTATTGTCTTGAAGCAACTGAACTCCGTATCTGTTTACGAGTGTTAATTGCTTAAAGCACTTCATGCATATCAAACTGAAGAATGAGTAATGGATAACTTCAGCAG